TCCTTCCCCTCTCCTTCCCCTCTCCTTCCCCTCTCCTTCCCCTCTCCTTCCCCTCTCCTTCCCCTCTCCTTCCCCTCTCCTTCCCCTCTCCTTCCTTTTTGTTTTCATACACAACAGACTGCCCCTTACTTGATCTTCGCAGCCCTTACTTCTGTCACAATTGTTAAAGCTGAGGGATCACGCGTGGAAAAATGAAAACCATGGTGCCACGCTGATCGAGGTTCAGATCATGGCAATGCACTGAACGCTTGTTGAGGAAATCCCAGTGTTGCTGCAGGAGCAGTGGTTAGTGAAGGCAAAACGTGTGCTTTGGGAATGATGAGTTCAGGAGTCTGTGTCCAGGTCGGGACAGCAGCCTCCGTGCGCCCCCCTCCTGCATGTCCCCAGCCTGGTGGGGCTTCCTGGGCCATCGCTGCCCCACAGCCCCCACGAGCTTTTCCAAGCTGTGCAAGGGTCCTTCCCTTTACACCCCAAAGCAGCATCTTCTGCGGAGCCACGGGGCTGCGCTGTCTGTGGGCGCTGAGATGCTGCAAAACTCGTGCCTGAGAAACCTCCTTCTCCAGAAGTGCTCTGTGCTCATGTCGCTCCCCGCTTTAACACTTAGGAGTTAATATTTTTTCTTGCAAGGACTTCATAACCTTTTGAAATCCTGGCCACCTGCTCTGGCTGTTTACATGGAAATAGAGCTTTTATTTTTCTGGAAAGTCCAGCCTCAGTGGTAAGGGCAGGACTTGCCGGAAAACACAAATCCATGGTCTGCCTGCCTCCTCAGTGACGGCTCCTCCGCTTCCAGACTCTCTGTCATCCCCGGCTTTGCCAGGACCTTCAAGCTGCCCTTTGCGCAGATGGAAATGCTCTTCCTCAGGGATGTGAGAGGGGAGGCAAGCCTCTGCACATGCCTATTTTGCAGGCATTCAAACAGAAGAAATCTTTATAGTGCTTGTTGCTCAAAACAAGGTTTCTTTTTCAATGTTGTTTCTTCCCTGTCTCTCAGCAGAGCTGCTCCCTGGCATGTCTGAAGCAAGCTGAGATGCAGCCAGTTCTATTAGTTCTGGCTGCAGCGAAGATTATAATGAAACACGGGATGTGTGCGGTGAGGCCAAAGTAAATGGCCACTAGTGGAGCCAGCAACGTCCTGCAAGCACAGACAGTCTGCAGCACGGAAAAGCTTGGACTTTACTGCAGCCAAAAGGAAAACTGAACTTGGGGCTTGGAGAGCTTGGGAGGAGAGGTTAGGATGCGGTGCCTTTCTGATGACATTCATGCACATTCATGCGGTGATTCCTGCGTTTTGTGTGTGTGTGTGTGTGTGTGTGTGTGTGTGTGTGTGTGAATACAATGTCTGCAAGTGGGGAAGGTGTTTTACCTCCTACCTCATGTTCTCAAAGCACAGCGCTTTGGTCTTTATATGCCAGGTGTCAGCATGCCCCGATTGCTCATCACTCAGTTGGGATTAGGGCGTCCCAGTATCAGGGAGGTGCTGTAAGGATAACTCCATTAATGCGCCTCGAACCCTGGTACTGCAGTGATAACGACTCTGTAAATATTTACACAGAGCAAGCGCAGGGAAATTTTACATTATCAGCTTAACTTCATTATAAGGAAGCAATTGAGAAAGTCACCACTATATTGCATTCACTTCTATTATTAATTCAACAATATATTTGCTGCTGCTTCACGCAGTATTCAGAGAGTTGCTGCTCCAAACATTTTACAGTCCGTGGGGAAATATCAAGTCCCCAGCAAAGGCAAAAAGTAGTTTTGCTGCAATAAGAATAAATCTTGCCAGACAGACCTTTTACAATTTTAGGAGTTAATAAAATAGTGGGTGGAGGACAACCAAAGGATATAATTTATTTAGACATTCAAAAGCCTTTTGATAAACACCCATACAAGAAACTGTTAAGGAAACCTGGTAACCACAAACTGAGAGGTAAAGTCCTGTCATGGATTAAAATCTGGTTATAAATGGGTATGGAATAAATGGCCAGTTCTAGTCAGGAGAGAGATTAATAATGAGGTGCCCTGGAGATCAGGACTCAGACCAATACTGCTTAATGCCTTAATAATAACCCGGGGGTGAGGAGTGAAGTGGCAAAAGTTGATGTCACTAGAAATGTGCTCTGCATAGGTCAGGAGCAAATTCAGGAGAATTTAATAAAATGGCAGGACCACATGCACAAGCATGAAGGCAGCCTGGAAAGTACTTCAAGCCCTCACCTTGCCGATCCTTCTTGATGTGATGTGTAGACTGAGGAGCTGCCGGAGACCCGAATCCACCGTGTGAGCTGTTACTCGAGGCTGGTCTGCAGACAAATACACTTTCCAGCAACCCAGACAGCCTCCGACGGGGCATTTGTGTAATCTTCTTGCTGCCAGTCCGCACCTCCAACTGCTCTCTGCTTTGCCACCCCAGCACGACACAGTGTCACTCAGCTTTTGAAGGTGACAATATTCACAGAGATTCAGACCACTCTTTTCCAACAGGGATTTGTGATTATTTTGTTTTTTGACCAATGGGTCATTTCCAAGGATACTCTTCTGGGAAATAAAACACCTCATGAGAAAAGATTTTTTTTTAAATCCTCTTGATATGACTGGTAAACTCTTCCAAAGTATGAGCTGCAAAATAAAAAGGGTTTAATTCTTTCCTCCTCTTTCATCTGATGACTTATTACACTAGAAGTGCCTCCCACCCCAACACGAGCATCTGGACCAGCAGGTGGGCTATGAAGGTGGCTCCCAAAGAGGAGCAGGACGAGTCCCGCAGCAGGAGTGAGGGGGAAGAGGCACCTGTGGGTGGGAAGCGCTTTGTCATGGACCCTGTGGTACCCAGGAAGGGACCCGGGGCTCCCTGCCTTGTCCTGGGCTGTGGCCAAGCCACGTTTGTGATCCAAGCTAAATACATGTAGCTTCGGGGATATATGACTTTGGGGATTCTTACTCCTCCTTCTAAGAGAGACTAGGCCATGGGTTGGCTTCAGCACGCCGAGACATTTCCCCGATGCTTCCCGGGAGGTGGCTGCCCTCCGCCTGCCTCCTCACATCAGCACAGGGAGGAGGGAGAGATACTGCTCTCCCGTCCGTCCCCCCAGCCCTTGC